TGTTGTTTGGTCGTTGGGTTTGTGGGGGAAGAACATTAGCTATAAACAGACTGGATTATTCCATTTAGTAGAGCAAGTTAGTGTCATTTCAGATTTTTCTCTTTTTAGGTCTGATATCTCTAGGCATAGGAATTAGATATTTAGGCTTTTTCCTGATTCGAAGCTTTTAAGCTAATCATTACTTGGTTTCATCACTGTTGCGTATCTTCAGCTTTTTTCTTCTATCAAATGAGCTATTGTTAGTCTTCCATTATATGTGAATCTTAAGTAGTATGTATGAGAATGAAGCAATAGTAAGTGCAGAATTCTCCGCTGTAATTTGCTATTTGTAAAGATTCATACACAGGATGTGGATGCTAACCTGGGATCTCCAATGCGTGGCAGTAAAATCTTAAAAGAGCTGGGTTTTTATTAGACTCTTTAGAGCTCACACTTTCATTTTCCGTGCATATGGGTGCTTAAGTGACACATTGAGTTGTTGACTTGTTTCTGACATTCGCTACATACGGAATTGTAAATGCTTTGACATTCACTGATTGAATTGTATATATGCAGGTTCTGGGAGATGATTGAAAACCCTTTATATCCTGTGAAGTTGGCTTTTACTGGTGTTCCTGCAGATGGGTGAGTTTCCTGTACCTTATTATTTTTGTGAAGATATTCTGTCCACGAAATTGTTCAGTTACTGTTCTTTGCTGGGTTTAAGCTTTCAATGTTTAAGGTGTTAATTCCTTGATCAGTCAACAAAGTCAGAGTAGAGAGTTTCTGATGCCTGTTTTGGTGGTTACTAAGAAAGGATAGTTTTATTTCTTTACCCTCAAAAGATAGGAAAGGCTGGGGTTTGGTTTCCAAAAGTTGGTTGGTGCCATTCCATTTTCTCCCTTCTGATGACTGGTGTAGATGAGAGGCACAAAGAAGGGAATTAGATGAGGAGATCTTACTTTGTCTCCTTCAATCATGTATCTTGTGCACATGCAAGTTAGTGTATCAGTAAGTGATATAGATCTTCTGTTGGCATTCAGATCTACACCGTCTTGTAGGTCCGATGTATTTGTCCATTTAAAAGTGAAGAATGATATTTCACAATGTAGGACTGCCTTCATAGAGGTTGTGAGATCTACACTCTCCACTTCCAACCTAGAGGTTGTGAGTTCGAGTCACCCCAAGAGCAAGGTGGGGAGTTCTTGGAGGGAAGGGAGCCGAGGGTCTAACGGAAACAGCCTCTCCACCCCAGGGTAGAGGTAAGGTCTGCGTACAAACTACCCTCCCCAGACCCCACTAGTGGGATTATACTGGGTTGATGTTGTTGTTGTTGTTGTTGTAGGACTGCCTTCATATAGAAACAGGTTACCTTACTTAAATTACTTTCATTTACATCCAAATGTTATGGAGCTTCTAAAATATATGACTTCCTTTCGTCCTGTCTGTTATGCTTTTGTCTGCTTTCTATGTTAAGTTTTACTCTAGAACATAGGAAGATTCACCTGTTGAGTGGCACTTCCTCTATCACAAAAGCCATAGAATGGCGGGATTTGGGGTATGAGGGTCAGTGAATCTAAATGTTCAGAGTGAATTTGGATGTTGATTCTTAGATTGTTCGAAATTAGATTCACATATTTAAAAGGTACATAAAAATATATATTATTATAGTTAAAGCCTCTAAAAAGTGCGTGAAAATCTTAGTCAAAGAAAAATATGTTTAACTATATAGTAATAATGGCATTCTTTTAGGGCTAAGGGGGTGTTCTGTTAATAAATTTGTAAACATATAAACTACTCTTAGGAGAATTTTGTATGTGCTTTCTAGGCATGACTATTATGACTCTTCTTCAATGTCCTCTTCATGCTGTATTTTGGTTTGCCTTTTTGCTTGTTCTACTGTGAACTTACTGCCTTATCATATTCACATTATATTGTGGTGATGCGAGAATGGACCCGTTGTGAATCACTTGTTACATTTGCAATTTTTCAGCAGAAACATTGAACAGAGGATTGAGAAAACTTTTCAACTCACTACAGCGGCGAAACAGGATTATGATCTTCAGGTTGTTGGTTGAATAATGACTTGAGTTTAAGTAGGAACTCTGTATTCATAATTTTTGTTTTATAACATTTTCAGGCTTGGTGCATGCTTCTCAATGACAAGGTACAATTTAGGATGCAGTGGCCACAGCATGCTGATTTGCAGGTCAACGGTATGCTCTATTATATCTTGCTTAAGTAAATGAAGAAAGTATATTTTTTTCCAGTAATTCGTTGTGGGTCAGGCATATCATATGTTATATATGTTTCTTCTCTCCATTGCGAAGGCACTGTCAGCTTTAATATATAATATGCAGTTGTATGACTCACTGGTGCAAGGAAACTTGGAAAAATGTCTTTTGCTAAATCCGAAAACTACAATTTCCATAAACTGGATAGAAATTGATCTACACTTTTATTTTTGTTAGTGATTTATTTGCCAGTTCAGTAACTTCATTTATATTTGAACCAACAGGAATTCCAGTGCATTGCATAGATAGAACTGGCTCACAATTGTTGGGTGCAAATGGTCGAGATTATGGTGCAATAGTGAGTATTCAGTTGCGCATACCCTGCCATCTTCTACTTTTTGGGAGGGGCAGATTAGGTGTATATATATGATTATATGTGCTGTTTTTGTTTTGCTAAGGCAAAACTCTCCGTTATTACTTCTCATGTTTATTCCTTGCTTTATTTAACAGATCACACAGTGCTCCAGAGATGGAATAAACAAAATTTTATTAGGAGGACTTGATGCCCGTGTCTTTTGCTTAGGGGTTAGACTTGTAAAGCGACGTACTTTCCAACAGGTAGCCAAATCTCTCTAATACACTTGCAACTTATTTGTTTCAAAAGCAAATCTCGTATTAAATATTTCAGAGAAGTTTTGAAATTTTATTTTGGAAAAATTTATTGTGTATGTGATCACATTTTCTCATCATTTTCCCTATTTTATAGTATTGCCCATTAGCGGCATAGTGTGTTTCTAAGAGGTGTGCACTATATCTATCTTAGACGAGCAGTGTCTGATGTTATTACCGAGAGTCAGAGATCTCTGAGACTAGATCGCCCGGTTATGTTTCTTAGACATGTTTTGCGTTTGACTCACATAGTTGTGTTGCCTCTTTGACTCTTGAGCAAAGTTCAACACAATGACTTTACATATAGGTTGACTAATAATGGACATGTACAAGTGCCTGGTCCTGTTATTGACTCTTATGGTGTCTGAATAACATTATCTTTTCTGTCTAGATTCTAAACATGATCCCTAAGGAGCCTGATGGTGAGATATTTGAAGATGCTCTTGCTCGCGTTCGCCGTTGTGTTGGTGGTCGAACAGCCACTGAAAATGCTGACAGCGACCCTGACCTTGAAGCAGTGGTTACTGATTTTGTTCCTGTCAATCTTCGATGCCCTGTAAGCAAATACCGATTGTTATCCTCTTTTTTTCACTACCTAGGTAGCGGCTAAAATGCTATAGTTACATTACACAAAAATTGCTTATTCTATGGGATATATCGTTACCCCTCTCTCTCTCTCTCTCTTCTTAATGAGATAAATATAGATGTCTCGACTGCCGAATCCTTATCCTGCAAACAACTTGATTCTGTCTCTCTCTCTCTCTCTCTCTCACCCACACACTCTCACTCTCTCACAAACACACACACACACACACACACTCTCTCTCTATTTTTTTTCGTATGTATGATGTAACAGTCAAGCTTGAAGCTTCCAGATTGTGCAGTTGCACCAAGTGGCAGTAGCTTACTCCTAGACGTCTCTTCATATGCGACAAGAGAAACTGCGTTGCGCATTATTTCTGCATCAGACATGATTTAAGTTTTTATATGATTGTTTAAAACAAGAAACAGTGGATCTATGTCTTCAAAGCTTAGACTTATTATTCCTTTGAGGCCAGAGGCGGATCCATTTAAAAATTTTTTAGCATTGTACCCATTATATTTTTAAAGTTATGGGTTCATCTCTACTATTTTTTAATTTTAATAAATTTTTACATATAAAGTTTTACTCCGCGTCGAAAGTTATGGATTCAATTGAACCCGCCGAGTATATGCTACATCCGCCCCTGTTTGAGGCATCACCTTGTCAAGACAGATGGTGGACCACAAATTAGCAGAGGGTGTTAATAGATAGATGTTGGCTCACTTTATATGAACTTCCTCCTCCTAATATGTGATAAATTCCTTATCAAGGGAGGATAGGATGTATTTAATTTGTATTATTTCCTTCCATTAGATTTGATTTATTCTTTGTTGGTTTCTTGCCAGTTTACCACTTTGTGACACAGTACGAGTATTTGATTTTCTCGTTATGTACAGCTGAGTGGTTCGAGAATTAAAGTTGCCGGACGATTCAAACCTTGTGTCCATATGGGTTGCTTTGATCTTGAAGTCTTTCTTGAAATGAATCAAAGGTCGAGGAAGGCAAGCATCTAGGACCCTGATAATCTAAGTTTCTATCAGTTTCAGATAAAAAACTTTGTCATGTAAACAGCTGATATATTTAGTAACAAATATCGTTCATATTATTGCAGTGGCAATGCCCCATCTGTCTCAAGAACTACTCTCTGGAGGATGTCGTTATAGATCCATATTTCAATCGGATCACTTCTCAGGTTTGGCTAGTTATTTCTTGTGATCATACACTGTTCCAACCTTGTCATTCTCTTTTTTGTTCACTTCTCAGATAAGACTAGTTATTGCTTATGGTCTTAATTCCATTATCCTTGTTATCCTTATAGATGTAATTTATATGCACTGACGATGTAAAACAACCTTATTGTTATAGTAGGTTATCTGCTTTATTTTTCAGGTTACTAATTTCACGCAGTTACTTGTGCTTTTATTTTAAATGACCGTGATAATATGTAAACATTTACATCATTAGTGCGTAAAACTTAAAGACTTCATTCTTATTTGTGCTTTTTTTTTTGGCTTTTGTGGTACAGCTGCTAACGTGTGGAGAAAAAGTGGCAGAAGTTGAAATAAAACCTGATGGTTCTTGGGGGACAAAGGCAGATGGGGATGTGGGACATTGGTACTTACCTGATGGCAGTCTCATTGAATCTCTGGATATATAGAGTCAATAACCCAAGCCTAGAATTAATTCTATAAAATACATATGAAACATTATGTTACCAAAGAACATTTACAGATCATTGGTTAAAAAGTGAGATAGTAAGTGTTTATATCCTAGAACTTAGTGGATATTTTTATTGGATCAAAATTTTAATTCAATAGATTTGTATGTCGCTATTTATTTATTTTTGAATATATATTTAATCTTCTTTGACATTTTTCTATTTCTAGTATGTTCAGCTTAGTAGTTTGCTTAATACTATGACTACTATTCTTTTTGGTTGAATACGTCAGTGAAATGGTAACATGTTTTTTGTTTCGCAAGTCTTTCCATGATTTTATAATCATAAAAATATTTCCGCTCTACGAGTAAACAGGGAAACTTAAGGAGGAATAATTGATCCGAAGATTTACCAAAAAAATAAAAATTAATTGCTCCCAACATAATGACCTCACTCAAACGGAAAAGACTCTAATATTAGCATTAACATATTTGCTGTATATTGTCTCATCTCTTAAGGCTTTTTTACCCCCTTGCAAAAAAGATATTTAACAAATATATTAGATTGTTTGTCTATTGTAGTTTTTATCTTTTTTTTTAATTATTTCGTTTAAATAACATTTCACTAATTATAAAATAAGAATATTTTCTGCATTTTGCACTTTTACTGAATATTTTCTTCTGTGATTTATATCATATTCTATTCTTTTAAATAATTTGGCCATCTATTTACTTTTGCGAAACCGTAAAATCACTTTTTTCCTAAACCCAAGAGAGAAAAACTGTAAATAAAGAACAAAAATAAGAAAGGATTAATATATGAAAACTCTCTAATTTGTCAATGTTTTACATCAATCCATATTTGTCACGACCCAAAATCCCAACTACGGGGTTGTGATGCCGCCTAACATTCACTTGTCAGGCAAGCCAGCCCTAGTCCAACACTTATCCAGTTTTAGTAATTTAAAAGCAAACGAAAAAGAATCTAAGTCTGAAATACTAATAATATGATAAACTAAAACCAACACAGTCTAATCTACACCCAGACACTAGTGTCACAAGTACATGAGCTGCTAAAAGTGCTACAAACAAGGTCCGAGATAAAATACAACTATACCAATGAAATAAACAGTATAAAAGATAAGAAGGGGACTTCAAGTTCGGTGAATGCCATGCAACTCTACCTCAAGTCTCCGGATAAATTACAGTCTAAGCAAGCCCCCTCTAAACGCTATTGATACAAACACCAAAATATGTATACGAAGTGCAGAAGTGTAGTATGAGTACAACCGACCCCATGTACTTCGTAAGTGCCGAGCCTAAACTCGACAAAGTAGTGACGAGGCTATAACAAGGCACTCACAATAAACCTATACGAGTATAAGTAAAAATAATAGAATAATAGAGCGACAACGATTAACGTGAAAACCAAAAAAGAAAATACATAATATAGGGCCCCAGAACATCATCTATGCTCAAATTCACAATACAACGCGGATACGGAACCAAGACTCAAGAACAATCATAATATAACTTCTCCGTTGCGGCGCACAACCCGATCCACACACATACATATATCAATACCGTTGCGGGGTAAATCTGATCCCATATACAACATCAATATCGTTGCGGCGTGCAATCTGATTCCAAATATCATATCAATATCCTTTGCGGCATGCAACTCGATCACAAACATCATTTCAATATCCGTCGTGGCGTGCAACCCGATCCCATATANTCACAATAAAATGCAATAAGGGAATTAAAAAGATAAAGACATAAGACAAATAAAAGCGGCTATTTTCAACATACAAAACATAAGGCAAGTAAAGGCAATCAATAAATAAAGATACGGATACATAAAAATATATAGCAAATTAAGACATGTAACGAACGATAGCATGAATTTAGCAAGGCAAGTAACAATTAAAGCTCTGAATGAGTAATAACATGGAATAAAGAAAGCATGGTATAAATAAAAAGCATGGTACATGGTTAACCCATGACAACACATATGCACTCGTCATATTGCTTATACGCCGTCCCCACACATAAATTACGTAGCAAATAGACCAATCAAGTCCTAATTCCCTCAAGTCTAGGTTAACAACGACACTTAACTATTTTCGAAATCCAATCAACCACGACTTTTCCTTTAGAACAAGCCTGTAAACTAGCCAAATCTAGCCAAATATCATTCAAACAATCCAAAACAGGCTTTAGAAACTACCCAAGAATGAAAAAGTTCAATTTTGATCTTGTATGAAAAGGTCAACAAAATCCAACCCCGGTCTAGCTTGGTCAAAATTCGAGATTCAGACCAAATCCTGATTATCTATTCACCCGCAAGCCCAGTTATGTCATTTGTTTGTAAATCCGACCTCAATTCGAGGTCCAAATCTCAATTTCTAGCTTGAAATTCATAGATTGGATGAAGAAATTCATGAAAAAGTAATGTGAATTGATGGAAAATAAATTAGAGTTGCTTAGAAGAAAAAGCTCTCAAGAAATCGCTTCAATGGAGTCTAGGGTTGAGAAATGGTGTAAAATGAGTTAAGTCCTATTTTTTTCAACTTTTACCCAACTGCAGATATCGCAATTGTGAACCGCTAATTGCAAATGTGATCAGTGTCTCAGCCTTACAGTACTCACAAATGCGATATTATGTTCGCATTTGCGAAGGACTACTCACTCACAAATACGAGCCAAGCTTCGCAAATGTGAAGCTGCTCTACATGACACTGTGTCACAAATATGACTCAAAGAGCCGCAAAAGTGATCACAGCATAGTTCGCAAAATCGAACCTTTATTTACAATTGCAAAGATCCATCCCCCAGCCCATGTTCGAATTTATGAGCCTGACATTGCAAATATGAGGCTCACAATTGCGATCAGATTCTCGCACATGCGAGACCTGCAACTTCACACCAGCAACTGTAAGTTGTTTCGAATGAACTCGGTCAAGCAAGCCTATTAGATACTGTCTACCCAAACTCACTTATGAATAAAGAGAATTCATATTTTCGTTACTTAAACAATAAGGAGACCATGTATACAATACCAATTCATTAATTAGTTACTTAATTTTAAAGTCTCAAATTACACACATTTTCATGGTCTGAAGTGGAACAAGTAATTCAAACACAACATAACTTGTTTGACTTGCCCAACACTAATATACAACCCACACTATGTCTACGGAGCCTCTAATAGATACAAAAGAATACTATGATAGTGCCGGCAACAAGCACCCGGCTATACCTCAAACACAATACACAAGGAACAAAAGATACATGACCCCAAAATGAAATGGGGCTCACCAAATCAGCTGCGAAGAGGGTGTACCACTATCACTGATCAATGTCTCCTGCCGTGGAACCACCTGCATCTATTGAAGATGCAGCGCCCCCAGCAAAACAAACGTTAGTACATATGGAATAGTACTAGTATGAATGACAAAACACCCTCTCAATAGAACGATTAATAATACAAGCAAGAACAATCATAATATTAGTGGAAGCCTCAAACAACATCAATCCTCAAGTTAGGACCAAGACATCGTTCAAATAAATTTCCATATCTTAAGTTGGGAGATCTTTAGAAACAATATGCCACCGTTCACAATACCACCATACTTTTAGAACGGAGTCGGATCACGACCCGATCGGCTAGGCCATCTCATCCGAGACATCAACCACAATCACAATTTCAATTATAATTTCCAGCACAATCACCACCATGTGTGCGACATGGTGTCTGATCACGACCCCGTCGGCTAGGTTGTCTCACCACAATGATGTGTGGATCAACATCATCCATTTATACCAATCATCTCGTTTCATACTTCTTTAACACATTTTTATTTCATTGGCACTAGTGGCAGTAATTATAAAATCATTCTTGGTACGTCAGTCGTATTTAGTATTTCATGCTCACCTTTTTCACTTTCAAACATCATCATCATCATCAACAACAAGGCATTACAAATCAATAGTTCTTTAGTACACATGTGAGCAATTAAGAGTCTTAAGCACATAGAGGTTTTTCACAAAATTTGGCATAATAGCCTTCGTTTGAACTTGACTTGAAGTCGAAACATTTTTAATCCACAACTCATACTTTGAATACATTCTCAAATGAAAACATAACATGATAAAAGCATTTGGGATACATATTGAACATATATTCAACACAAGCTTATTCGGAATAGCCAATTTTATAATGAACAACTCGGGACTTACATAAATTACATGAATACCGTGGGATTCAATTCTAAGAGAGGAGTTTAGCCAACATACCTTGCTTGAGCTTCCCTTTAGATTACCACAACATCCCAACACTTATAGCAATTCCAATTAACTAGAGATATAATAAAATTGAACTATAATTAGGGAGAGATTCATGGTTTCAACTCATTTGAGTATTTTATCAAATACTAGATGTGCAAATTGGTTACAAGGTTCTTCCACAAGATTTCTTTCACTTTACAACCCAATCTTTACCCATTTGGGCACAACAATCTTACCACAAACCTTATTGGTACATGCATGTATACATAATACTCTCACACCCAAGAATCATACTCCCAATCACCCATCTTTTACCCCAAACTCGAAGTTGAAGACTAGGGTTAGAACCTTACCTCTTGAGTGAAGATCTTGTGAGATTTTCTTGTTGGATTTCAAAGCTTGGACAAGATCTTGGTGAACAAAGCACTTGAGCCTCTTCATCTCTCTAGAACACTCTCACCTCTCTCTAAAAATACTAGATTTTTGGCTTCAAAACGAGCCCCATAGGCTATCTATCAAAATAGGGCCGGGTTATAATAAACGTCCGCAGCGTGGACCATAGAGTTGATGTGCGGCCCACAAAATGGAATGCAGAATTGATATCCAAAAATTGGGTTGTTTCGGGTTGGGCCCGCAGACCTGTTCTACGGCCCGCAGACCTGTTCTGCGGTCGTATAATGCACAACAGACCTGTTCTGCTGTTGCATAATGCACCGCAGAACTTCCCTCCAGAAATCTCCATGATTATCCTGCGATGTATTATGCGGTCCGCAAAACGATTATGCGACCGCATAAAGGTCCAAAAATTAACTCAAGTTTCTGCTTCACTTTGCAATGTTTATGCGGCTCGCGAAATGGTTCTGCGATCGTGAAATGGACTGCAAAATTGCCTTC